TTAACAACAACAACAACAACAATCCACTCCTCGGCAACCTGATACAGGGTGGCTAAGATTTGGAAGCAACTCAACACCACTTAACAACAGGCACTCTATAAGCAAGTCTCCTGTCCAAGGTCACTCAGCAGTCGGGTGCTCTGAGTCCTGGTTCTGCTGCTGCTGCTCCGGGGTCGCTCCTCCGAGATCACAGCTTTCTGTCTCTGGGTTGAGGACGTTCAGTATCTTCTTCCACCTTCTCTTACCCAGACTGACTGAGCAAGGCAAAGCGACTAATGGGAGTTACAATAATTCACTATATCACAGCCCCATTCTTCCTCTTTTTAAAAAATGTTTTATTATGAATTATGTGATAGTTTACATGAGAGAACATTAGTTTTACACTCATCCTATTGTATATCATTTCATTGCCATGGTTACTATTCCCTCCATGCATCATCAACCAACCAACCTCCCGGTCGTCAGCACACAGCCCCCTCCCTCTCTGGGTCTAGAGTTCCCAACCACTCCATCTCTCCACATCATCATCTCTGCCTCCATCTCTGGCATCACTACTTCTCTGGGTAGGGTCCCGTTCTCTGCAATTCTCCCTTGATGGTCCCAGAGACCTCCACTCCTAGACTGCAAAGTCAATCACTCCTCTCCTTGCTACAAAACGTCTACCTTTACATTTCCAATCCTCACAGTCAGTCCTAATAACAATTATTCACAAGAGACCTATCCGCATCTCATTTCATCAACCCGGCCAGACAGATTGGATATTACACAGTGGAGTTTCGACCTTCCTCCACGCCCTCTGGATCTAGGCTCCCACAGCCCCATTCTTCATCATAATTTTTTCAGTGTTTCAAGGTAAACATTAGCAATAAATAGAAAGCCACACTCTTGGTACGCTCCTCTCCATTCGTGGGAAGGAGGAGACTGACAATACTCAGTAGCACATCCGGGTGTGTTAGTGGAGTCCCAGGACCCCTGGAAGCTTATCACCGAGCAAATACGAGCCAAGACACATAAAGCCAAGACACATAAAGGACACTTAATCCACTAAGAGCCACCATTTGTCAATCTGGGCATCAATCCTAGAACCACATTCATAAAGCCAGGTCTTCCACATCTCCAATCCATTCTGAGTACAACTCTGAGCTTTTGTAACTTTAACCACCCTGATCAATTCTTACCTCGCCATACTTGGCCTATTATTTCAGGCTAAAATTTAAGAACTCTGAATCCTGAGTGTCAGCTAACATGCTAGCTAACTATCATCTTCATTTATTAACTGGAGAAGCAAGCCTCTCATATTCTTAAAGTTGGTAACAACAAAGTGTGGACTGCAAAGTCAGTTTGAGCCACAAGGTTGGCGGTTCAAGGTCGCCAGCTGTTCCTCAGAAACCCTATAGAGGGTCACTATGGGTCCATAACCAGAGTAAGGGCAAGCCTAGAATCCTGTAGCATATCTCTTAAGATCTCCCTTCCAGGCTGACATTAGCCAGCAGCTTAGGTTTGGTAACTTGAATGGCTGTCGATCCATCCACCTAGACCTTATCTGCCTGCTAGAGTAAAGAGAGATTACTCTGTTTTAAGGACACATGAAAGGACTCTATCTACCAGCCGTCTAGTAAACTCATCACACAAGGAACTATGATTTGTGTCAGCCGCTGCTCTTTATTGGAAGCTCTGCTGGTTTGAAGGCGCCAGCTCTCCTTGCCTGAGTGCGCAGACTTCCTCAACAACATTCTATGTCTGTTATAAATTCTAGCATTGGAAACCATCTGATTTCTCTCTAGGAGACTTGAGACATGTGTCAGTCTCAGTTTTCTACATTTCTAGGACTTTTCAAAAACTATGAATAAGGATTTTGCAATCTTATTAGCAAGTACTCTGGTATTATAGAATTTATGTGAATCTGATTTAACCCAATTAGATACTCTCTTAAGATCTCTTTATCACCCTTAATTTTGTTTGTTCTAGCTAACTTTTAAATAGTCATGGTGGTGATGTGGGTTAGGCGTTGGACTGCTAACAGCAATGTTGGTGGCTCAAAGCCACCAGCCGCTCTGAGGGACACAGATGAGGCTGCCTGCTCTGGTAAAGCTTTAGTCTCAGAAACCCTCACCATACAGGGTCACTGTGAGTCAGAATCAGCTCATGGCAGAGGGTTTTAGAGAAAACAGTTTACTTCCTTCTAGAAACCTGGTGAACTCAAGGTTTTCAATTTACTGATCTTATAGCGTAGTGGTTACGAATCGGGCTGCGAATCTTAAGGTCAGCGGTTCGAAAGTACGAGCTGCACCGCGGGAGAAAGATGAGGCTTTCTACTCCCGTAAAGATTTACACCCTTGGAAACCTAAACAGGGTCGCTATGGGTCGGAAACGACTCGAATGCACATAACAACAACAACAACAACAACATAGGCCAAAAGATGATCTTTTCTTTAAAACAAGTAATACATACTCAATTTTACAAATGGCACTTTAAACTTAAGGACTTCATTAGCAATTAGTGTTTCTTTATTGCTTGTGTTGCAAACTTTATTTTCATCATGAACAAAAGAAGCAGAGTTCTGGTGTGGGGCTGTGGGTTAATGCGCTGCACTGTAAAGTCAGTTTGAACTGCAAGGTCAGTTTCAAGCTCACCAGATGCTCCTTGGAAACCCTATACAGAATCGCTATACGTTGGAACTGACTTCACGGCACTTAACAACAACGTACAAGACCCAGTGAAAAAGAGGACACCGCCCACTAAGACACTCGGACTAAGACCCAGCAGCAATGCTGGGACCGGACAGTGTTTCACTACTCTGTACATAGAGTCAACTTGATGGCATTCAATAACAACATACAAGCCTCAACTACTATGTGTGTGAATTATTCATCACGATGTAATCAAAAGTCGTTGTTGTTGTTAAGTGCCCTCGAGTCAGTTCTGACCCATAGCGACCCTGTACAAGGTTTCCCAGGCTATAAATCTTTACTGGAGCAGAAGACCTCATCTTTCTCCCGCGAAGCGGCTGGTAGTTTCGAACTGCTGACCTTAAGATTCGCAGCCTGATTTTTAACCACTACGCTACCAGAGCTCCTTATAATCATAAGTAGACAAATGAAAAACAAAAATAGCCCTAAAACTCAGACACTAATAGTGTGGCACCATAAGATAAGCACTCTACCTCAAAGTTGGTTTGAACTGCAAGGCAGGCGGTTCAAACTCACCAGCTGCTCCTAGGAAACCCTATACAACAGGGTCGCCACGAGTCACAATCAACTTGATGGCACTGGGCAACAAAACAGTAATCACGTTGACGAAAACAATATTGGCTAATGATCACAGTTATAGTCAACATTACTTAACAAACAAACATCCCAAGTCTAGTAACATTTTAAAGCAAAACATCTATCAATACGACCATTACTGCCTTCATCCATCCATCCGTTCAGCAGTTAAGAGTTTACAATAAACAAGGCACTGTTGTAGGTGCTGAGGACACAAGTCCGACTAAAGAAAATAAAATCCTTCTCTCTGGACCTTTCATTCTCGCACCATCTCGCACACACACCTTTAACGGGAGCCTGTAGTTTCGAGGCACGCACTGGACTACAGGATCAGCACTGGGCTGGGAACCACACGGTGGGCGTTTCAATTCCACCAGCGGCTCCTCGGAAACCCCCATACAGGGTCACTACGAGTCGCAATTGACCCGACGGCCCTAACAACAGAGAGACGCCCGGATTCACGGACACACACGTTACCAAAGGCACCAACGTTATCAACGTTGTAACCTTCAATCACAAAAGGCCACCCTTAAGTAACTGCTCCGAGAAACCGTTACGAACGTCAGAGGAGCGGCCGAGAAAGCGCCGTTTAACTGGCGATCACAAGCTACCGGACTCACTGCAGGTGAGAGAACGTTCTTTCCGACATTCTAAACACGGGTTCCTCCGGGAACAAACGGCAACAGCGCACCCAAACCTCACCAAGCACCCCCAAGGCGACACCGCGCAACGAACGGAATCGCACCACGGGCGTGCCGACTTCCCCCGGTTACCTGGCTCTCCCGACTCCCCGACAGCGGAACCGTCCCCAGAGTCTCAGGCCCCACGGGGGCCGAGCCACGCCGAGATCACAGGAACGAAATGGACAGCGGGCGCCGCGAAGCCCCGGGATCCCGGCCGCCCCTCGCGGTAAGGGGCGTTAACGGCTCCAGTGTCCGGCTGGACTTCCCCCTGCTCCTCCCTTAGAGCCCGCCCCGTACCCCGTGTCGCCCGCTAACTTGCACCGGGGGCCGCGGAGGGAGGCGGAATTCAGGGAGACAGACTCCGCCGGTCGATCACTCCCTCCTCCGGCCTCCAGGGCTGCGGGAGGTGGGCGGTGCTGCCCGGGGTCCGCTGGCCACTTACCTCTCGCCTCAGGCAAGCCCCTTAGCAACGTCTCTCCTTGCCGACTGCGGCCATCTTGGACAAGGAATGTCGGGGAGTCTACGTCATCGCGCTGCGTCTCGCGACGGAAAAGCAACGACGGGGGGTGGGTGGGATGGAGTAGGCCTGTTAGCCAATCAGAAGAAAGTAGAGCTCCCCCCACCAAAAAAAATAGGGAAGAGCCGTCAGTGTCCGCCTCTCCTCGCCCCGCCCCAATGGTCAGAAGTTGCTGCGTGCAGGGGAGGAGTCTACAAAAGGGCCATCCCGTCGGCCCCGCCCCCAGTCGGAAGCGATTCGGGAGCAACCGAACATGCTAACGGAACTCGGACGCGAGAGGCAGGGCCCAGCGTACCCGTTGTCCAATTACAGCTCGGGCCTTGGCGCATTCCAGCCAATGGTGGCACCGAAGCTGGCGGGGGCTCAGCCGACCGCTTTCCGCCCCCGGGAACACGCCGGGCCAATGGCAGGGGAGGAAAGAGGACGGAAGAACGGCCGAACAGAGGGCGGGGCCAAGGGAGGGACGCGCCATGCGTCGGGATCCTGGGCCAATGAACGGCGGCGGCGGCGGTCTGGGGGCGGGGCCCCGGGGGCGGGCGGAGCGGGGTTGGGCCGCGACGGCAGGGCCGTCTCAGGCCGCCGTCCCGCCCTCCCGTCCGGCCGCCGCCGCCGCCGCCGCCGCCTGGGGCTTGGTTGAGGCGGACGGTGGGGTTCGGGCAGGAGTGTGGCGCCGCTGCTGCGCGAAGGGGAAGCAGGCAGGTGAGTGTCGGCAGCGAACCTGCGTGCTCGGCCCGCCGCCCCCTACTCTCCCGCCTGAGCCCCTTGCGAGTGCGGGCCGCGTTTGCCGCCGCTACGGCCCGCGCTCGGCCTGCCCCGTCGGCCTGCCAGGCGTGGGCGCGGCCCCCAGCTCTGGGGACAGCAGGTGCAGGGGGCGCCCCCGCCTGCCGCGGCTCTCGCTTCCTTCCTTCCTGGCCCCACCCGCTGCCCGGGTGCGGGTTGTGCGGTTCCTCTCTCGGAGCCCGGGTCCCGTTGCCCCGGTGCGGGCTGCCCCATATTTCTCCTTTGGAGCGCGGGGGTCCGAGCTCGGTTGCGGTTTGCGCCCTTTACTTTTCTTGGAGCTCAGGTGCCGGGAGCCGGGATGTGACCTGCGCCCTGTTCCTCTCTTGGAGCCCGGGTGCCCCAGGGCGATTGGACCGGTCCCTGAACCTAGGCTTCACTTTCCAGTTATCACAACAGCCGGAGGAAGTAGGTCATCTTCCTCCTTCCCACGCAGCCTGGCCGCCTCCACGCGCCTCCTGGGGAGAGAATTGGGGGCCGGGAGTCTGGCCTTCAGCTCTCCCCCACCCGGGAGCGTGTTTTCTCCTCCTCCTAAAGGCAGCAGGTGATGTTCCCAAAGCAAAAAGCATACTTTGGAAGTATCCTGACGGGTTGATTTTGCTTTAGCAATCCCCAAAGACCTCATCTTTTGCTGAGATACTTTCCTGTTCACAGCGTGGCGGTGCTAGTGGGGGGGGGGGGCCTGCTGTATGCGTGTGTCTCAACTTGGGACTGTCCATGGAAAAGCGGGAAAATGATACCTCCCACTCCCCAAAAGGAGCCTCACTGATGTTTATGGGACCCTACAGCTCCGTGACAACCTTGGAGAGGTGTTAGTAATTTGTATCAGCAAAGCAAAGTAAAAGCGGCTTGTTCCGGGCGGTAAAACCTGCCAGGACTTGCTGGAAGTGGGAGACCGATGCTGTGTTTGCAGGCAACCGGGCGTACTGGCAGCCCTGTCTGGCCCAATTCGCCCCTGGGGCCGCTGTGGATGACATTTTGGTGAAGTTCTTGGCCCAAGAAGATTTGCATACTCGAGTTCTCAAGGAGACCTACCCAAATCCACTCACTTCTGTTAGGTGGATTACAACTCACAATGCCCCAGTAGGACAGCCGCACAGCCCCACAGCGTGCCTGAGCTTGGAAATCTATGCAGAAAGCAGACTGCCATCTCTTTCTACCAGGGAGCGGCTGGTGGGTTTGAACCGCCCATCTTTTGGTTAGCAGCCAAGCATTTATCCCACAGTACCTCCAGGGTTCCCTGAAAGAACTCCAGAACCTCTTTATTCGTACTCTAAGCACCCTGGCGCTCAGCTTCCTGCTGCTCCCCTTTCCTGTCTGGCCCTCCTTCACTCCTTCAGCCCAGGCCTTCAAGACTTTTCAGTGAATATCTGAAAGGAAACTGGTCTTTGAGAGTAGAAGTGGGTGCTGTTTCCAGTCGGTTTTGCAGGGCTCTGGCCTCTGGTGCACTCTTGGACTGGGAGCCATGGATGTTGGACTTAGAGGTGAGGCCCGGCTTCCGGCACGTGTTGTAGAAAGTTCTTTGCGGTCACTTCAGTGAGGAGGGCAGTGGAGAAGCAGTGCCCATGCAGCTGGACCTTTAGACCACGTGATGTAACCTGGGCTTTAGAAGCCACTGGAGAACGAGAAGAATAGGAAGGGGGGTCTCACGGGTTTTTTTGTTTCTGAAGTCTAACCTTTGGAAAAAGGTTTTTGTTTTGAAAGCTCTGCTTGGAACGTCTCTCCCTCAGTACCTAGGAGAGAACCACCAAAACCCTGGAGGTAGAGTGGTCTGTGCCGGGGCAATTTCTGTCAAAAAGCATTTGTGTGTGTAAAAATGCAAGGGCCCTGGTTGTGCCATGGTTAAGGACTTGCCTGCTCACTGTGAGATCGCCCGGCCTTTTGAACCCACCTGTCCTGCTTTGGGAGAAAACCCCCTGTACTGTGCTCCCAGAAAGGAGACCCTCTGGTGGAGTTCTGCTTTGTCCTGTAGGGTCGTAAGGAAGCAAAGACACCAACAACATAAAAAAATCTACCTGTAACTTAGAATTGCTCTGAATTCCATTGCTTTCTAAGCCTCAAAATGTGTTTTGGGGGTCTCCTCCTTACTGTCATTCATTAATCTGAAGTAACTTCTAGGAACAGAACTGACAAGACTGCCCTCTCTTTTGTATGTTGCTTGATGATTGTCTTCATTGGGAGGACTGTTTGCCTGTCCCCTGACGGCTGTGCATGCTGCTTGTTCTATCTCCTGGGATAGAAGTACTGGAAATGGGGGACAGTTTTGTTCCCCTGGTAGCGTAGTGGTTACCAATTGGGCTGTGAACCTCAAGGTCAGCAGTTCAAAATTACCAGCTGTTCCATGGGAGAAAGAGGAGACTTTCTGCTCCCGTAAAGATTTACAGGCTCAGAAATCCTGTACAGGGTCACTATGAGTCGGAACCGACTCCACAGCACATAACAACAACAACAACGAAGAGGATGAGAAACCATTTGTTTTCTTGTTGTGTGCCCTTGAGTTGGTTCCAACTCTGTGTGGGGTTCCCGAGAGTGGCTGGTGGGTTTGAAGTGCCTGCCTTGTTGGTTAGCAGTCCAGTGCTTATCCTACAGTGCCACAGCACGACTCTGAAATCATTTAGTACTGGGAATCGTTGAGTACCGTGGAAGAAAGGTGTGGTGATCTCCTTCTGTTATGTCAGAGCTATCACAAACTCGATGAGGTGTGTGTAGTTTTACTGCGACACATGTGGGGTCTCCCTGAGTCAGAACTGACTTGATGGCAGTCAGTTTGGTATTTCTAGGGTTAAAATTCTTGGTGTGGCGCTGTAGGACCAGCACAGGATTGACCCACAGGCTCGGCAGTTCAAACCTACCAGCTCCTCCTTGGAAACTCTATACAGGATCACTTTGAGTAGGAACCGACTTGATGGCACTTTACAGCAAATGATAGTAAATATTTTTAGCAGAATAGTTTCTGCATCTTTGTGCTCAGTGATTTGTTTTTTCAATTAGCTAGCATTCTGTATGTGCCCATTTTTCAGTTGGGGAAGACTATTTTTATTTGGGGAAGAGTATCTTGTATCCTTTTCCTCTTTGCGGCAGTTCTGGAAACTTCGATCTCGGGTGTCAAGCCATTGTAGGCCACTGTTAAGTAGTGAGGAATGGAAAACAAAAGATCCTGGCTTCAAGTTTTTCTACGCAAGTTTTTACTTTGTAACTTTTACAAGAAACCTGACTTTGCAAAACAGATTTCTGTACATTGATTAGATGTACTTCTGTCCTCTCTCACTTTTTCTGTTCATAAGATTGGAGATATTTAATATTTTGATCTGCAAATAGAACTAGTTTACATGTTTATTTTCATAGTAAAATATATTTCTATTAACATGCATACGGTAAGTTTTTATATGGTGTGTTTTTGTTTTTGAGCCACATAAAGGGTGGTGGTGGCATTGTACTGTGGAGTTGGTTTTCACTCAGTGACCCCTGTGTAGGGTTTCTGAGGCTATAAATCTTTACAGGAGCAGAAAGCCGTCTCGTTCTTTTGAGGAGCAGCTGGTAGATTCAAACTGCTGACCTCGTGGTTAGCAGCCCAACATGTAAGCCACTAGGCTACCAGAGAGTTCATTAGTCACATGTAATATAGTCATATGGGGAGAAGGTTGGAATTTGCAAACTCTGCAAGATGAGAACCCCTCCGAGCTTTATGCTGTTAACTTCACCTGTTAACTCAGGCCAGCTAGTAGCTGCTTAGATCCTATTTAGATTTTGCAAATAAACCTGAACCAAGAGGACGTGCCGTTACAGGCGTTAACATTTTCCCACTGACGTAACTGAGTGGAAGGAGAGTGATTCTGAAATCACGGTAAAGTTCAAACACCAAAGGGAAGACTGTGCAACCTTTTCTTTAAGTACTTTCCAAGAAGCTAACGGGTAATCAATCTAAGTCCAAGCATTCTTGATTAGCGGTGGAAGACTTGCATCACGTTTTTGAAAGACAGTGGAGTATGAGACTGTGTGCCGACATGGTGTACAGAACATCCGGGCCGTTTACATCCGCAGTGGGGAGGTGGGGAAAGGCCTGGGAGCACAGTATGAAGAAACATACTAACAACTTTGTAGAATGACTGAAAAGTGCCTGGAAGTGTATGGATACCAGGGAGATGCTTAGAATTCTTAACTAATTATGTAGTATTTTAGGTTCTTAAGGAGTCCTGGTGGTGCTGTGGATTAGGTCTTGGGCTACTATCCCCAAAGTTGGTGGTTCAAATCCATCAGCCACTCCTTGGAAGACCAGATGAGGCTGTCTGTTCCCATTTTGAGATTTGCAGCCTCAGAAGCCCTTTAGAGTGGCCATGGGTCAGAATGACTGCATCTCCGTGGGTTGGTTTGTTTTTGTTTTACTTATTAACAATCCTGAAAGGAGCCTTGTTGGTGTTGTAGGATAAACACTGGACTGTCAACCACGAGGTCAGCCATTGAAACCCACCAATCGCTCCATGAGAGAAAGATGAGACTTTCTGCTCCCGTAAAAATTGACAACCTTGGACTGGGTGGCCGTTTAGTAGGAATCAACTCAGTGAAAGTGGATAGTAACAATCCTGAGTTTCCCTTTGCACTTTTTGTTAAGGAGAAGTCATCTGAGCATGTCAGGATTCTTAGACTGAGTGGTTTTAAGATGCCAGCCTCAGAAAATGGAAATGGCCCTTCCGTGGTATCAGTTTTCTCTTGTTGTTGTTGTTGTGAAGTACCGTCGAGTCGATCCCGACCCACAGCGACCCTGTATGGGGTTTCCGAGGAGCAGCTGGTGAGCTTGAACCACTGACCTTGCCGTTAAATGACTTTGTAGTCTGGCGCATTAACCCACAGAGCAACACCAGAAAGTAAGAATTCATTTATACTCATTAACCAGGAGGGATGGTCCACAAAACTGTTTACCAGTG